GGTTTAAACACGACCCATTTGATGTCCTGGATTGTGGTTTCATTGTCTTATATGGTTGTTCATGTCTTGTTCAACTTATTCCTTCCTGAGTTTGGTTATTGGAGTATCTGGGTTGTATTTGGAACAGTTTGGTAGCTTGTTTTCCAAAACTGTTATTGCCCATATTTTTGTCTTTAGGCTTGAGTGAAGCTTCCTTTGCTCGAGCGGCCTTTGAAAACTCTCAATACTTTTGCAAGTCTACAAAACCACTGGATGGGTGCATTGTACGCTCGAGCAGTCACTTCCTGTGCGCGAGCGGTCCCACTTATTGTGCATGGTCGCTCGAGCGACACTTCTTGCGCTCGAACGGTCTGTGCGTATATTAATCCGTAAAAGTCACTTTTTGGATCACTATTTCATCTCAATTTCTCTCTAAACATTTCAAAAGCTCAGATTTTTGTTCTCTCTCTCTCTCTAAAACTCTCAATAATGGTGCTTGCACAGGTTACGGGCTAACACGTCTGTCAACGACTTACGAGACAAGACCTAACCGCACTCACTGCTAACAGTCTAACTCTACGCGACTTGGGTGACGTCCCATTAACCCTAACGTTATGTTAACCATTACTAAGCATTGACCCAGGAATATTATTAGTCATAGTTTTATTTTATTTTTGATTAATTATTCCATATATGGTCTCATGATCTAATTGTCTGAAGGAGGTGGAGGCCTACCGGCCAGTATGAGTAAACAGATTTGTTCCTGGATTTGTAGTTGCATTTGCTCAATTAATCTATTTACTTCTTCTAATTGTTGCAGACCCCAAGGGTCATTAGGCCAGATTGATAAAAATTGTCGGATAAGATTATTTTTTCGATTTATATGGTATGCTAGTATATCATTTAATATAATAAGTATATATTCAGACATGCATAATAAAACATAAAAGGAATACTTACAGACTATACTTACTCAATATGGCACACTTTATTAGATACTTGAAGAGTATATTACAAGAGCACACCTGAGAGAGAATACAAACTTATAAAAATGGAAAAACTAAAATTTCGTTCTGCCTCAACAAGGGTGAGGATGCCCTTTATATAGAAATAAAATTATTACAAGGGATATATCTGCGAGACAGGTGGCGTGTCCTGAATGGTCCGGAGTCGATCATCCTTATCTCCTTCTGATTCCCTTATCTGGAAGTGTCGGCAAAGTGGACAGTTGGATGGCTTTAATAATGTGTGGCCGGCAAAGAATCTGCTTTAGTAAAAGTGGCCGAAAGCATTTTTGTCGCCTTGTAGAGCTGGATCATGCGTCGGGATAAGTGGAGAATAAAGGGAAATTATTCTGCTTTGCCTTTCCCTTTTTTGTCCTTTTCTTGACTGAGTTTGTCGGCAATTAGACCTGTGAGAGAATCCCAAAAGTCTCCAAGATTGGGGTCAGCATCATCTAGTTCTTGAGCTTCACCGGCTAGCACGTTGAACTCATTATCATCATTATAAGGATCAGGATGACCTTTATCTTCATGTCTGGCGCTTGACTTCATGCTGATGTCATCACGATTGAGAGATTGGAGAAATTGTTCTTTATGTAATCCATACTTTTGATTACTAATTCGGATTCTGAGAGTGTTGAAAATTTTTGTCTTAGTTCATTTTGAATCTGGACAAATGGATTTTGAACTGGAGCAGCTGGGATGAGTTTAGGAGTAACATCCCAGCAGGCTTGAGTATGAGCCTTAATCTTCTAGAGTAATTCCTGTCATGGTTTTGGATCATCCATTTTATTCCACCATTTATAAAAGAATACTCTTTTTAATCGGGGAATTTTATTCTGAAAATCAGTCTGAAAATCCCATTTCCATATCCACAGAATACCAAAACGGATAACAAAATGAGTTGTGGATTTGGACATGGAAATATCTTGGTGTCTAGGAAGATGACTGAAAGCAACATGCCATTCATTAAATGCGTTGTGGATATCGTCAGGAAATGCATCAATTTGAATGCCATGGCTATCCCACCAAACGAAAAACCAGGAGGGGAGATCGTTTTGTAGAACGTCGGGAAGGACTCGGATACACCAAGAATGGTTCTGAGGGGGATTCATATAATAAAAAGTTTCTTTAAAAGCAATAATATAATCCCAATAACTGAAATGAACCTCCTTGTTATAGATCTCAAGAGACCGAGTAACGTGAGGATGCATGCCCCAAGCATTCATGGGCAAAATTTGCTGGATAGTGCATTTACTGTAATTTATTGGACTGGCAGCCCGATGGGACTCAGCCAATGTATGCTTGAAATCCATTGAGCCAGTATCAATTAAGATCTGCTCATACATGTATCGGTAATGATCAAAGCGAGGTAGGGCATGCTGAGTGGTGAGATACCTCCTTTTAATTTCCCAAGGGTCCTGCATCCATTGAATCTCAGATTTTTCAATGTAGAGGACAGTTTCTTCAGTAATAAGATTATGGACATAAGGCACAGGAGGTGCGAGGAGGACATCTTTAGCCATTTGGCTGGATTCCCCTTTTTTGCTGGAAGCGGCACCAAGGCCTGGGAATTCAGTATTGTAGGGATTACCCCTACCACGGCCCCTTCTGCCGAAGCCTCGGCCTCTATTCTGCATGGGAACGCTGCAAATATTCGCGAGTTAGAAAATCAGGAAGAGAATTATTTTCTCCTTTGATATATTCAATATCAAAATCAAAAACGGAAAGCTGGCCTTGCCAAGAGGCAAAAATCTGTTTTTGAGCTAAATTTTTAACATCAGCTTTAAAGATTTGTTTAGCAGCAGAACAATCAACTCTGATTAAAAAATGCTAGTTGAGAAGATCATCCTGAAATTTTAAAACACATTTTAAAATAGCTAAACATTCTTTTTTAATGGTTGGATAATTTTTAGCTGCAGAATGCCAAATTCCAGAATGAAAGCGGAGAAGTTCTTTTTTTTTAGTGTTTGGATTAAATTGTTTGAGAATACCACCAAACCCTAAATCAGAAGCATCAGTTTCAACAATTTTTTTCCATTTTGGATTAGGTAAAGAAAGGCAAGGTAGAGTTTGAACTCTAGCCTTAATTTTCTTTACTGCTGCTGTATGTTCTGGACTCCATGCGGGAGGATTTTTTCTGAGTCTGGAATATAAAATTGCTACATCAGTAGCAAGGTTAGGATAGTAATCATGTATATAATTTAAACTACCCAAAAATCTCTGTAATTGAGTTTTATCTTTAATTTCATCAGGAAATTTAGAAGCAAATTCCATACTTCTATTTATAGGAATAATAGTGCCATTGTGGATATTATGGCCTAAAAATCAGACAATTGTCTGAAAAAGTTTCATTTTTGAAGCAGAAACGACCAAACCATTTTTTATGATAACATGCTTAAAAATATTAAGATGTTTCATGTGTTGGTCAATTGATGAGGAAAAAAGTAAAACATCATCAATATAACAAATTGAGAATTCTGTATAAGGATTGAATATGTCATTCATTATATGCTGGAATTCTGATGGAGCATTCTTCAAACCAAATGGCATGACATTCCATTCATAGTGCTCAAAGGGTGCAGTAAAAGCAGTTTTATATCTGTCTTCTTCAGCGATTTGGACTTGCCAAAATCCTGATTTCATATCAAATTTGGAGAATACGACTGCATCGCGGAGGCGGTCTAAAAGATCTTTTTTATTTGGAACTGGATACCTTATCCACTGTAAGGCTTCATTGAGAGGTTTGTAATTAATCACCAATCGTGGAGTACCACGTTCGATTTCGGCATTTTTATTCACATAAAATGCAGTACAACTCTAAGGAGATTTACTGGAGCGAATAAGTTTCTTTTGGAGAAGAGTATTGATCTCTGTCTTACAGAGTTCCATATACTCTTTTTTCATTTGACTAGGGCGAGCGCGAGTAGGAATTTTCCGCTCATCATAACCTGGTTCATAAGGCAAGGAAACAATATGCTTCTTCCTATTCCAAAAAGCATTGGGAAGATCATTGCGAATTTCAGTTTGAAATTCTTGTTCAAGAATTTTTATTTTTTGCTGGAAAGAGGATTGGCTAATCCTTTGTTCTGTAGTGAGAAAACTAATTTCTTTTTGTAAGAAATTAATTTATTTTTCTTTAAAATTAACTAAGTCCTTGATTTGATCAAGTTCATTAGTATAAGGTTGTGTAATAAACTCAAAAATAATCAGTTGATTATTCAGGTTCGTATGGATGCCAATAGAATCTATTTTTAAAATTGGCATCAAAAGACACAGGAAATGAGTACCAAGAATTATGGCTTGAGACATGTTCTTAATAAGAACAAAAGAGGTTGGAAGACATAATCCTTGATTACAAATTAAGACTTCTGGAAGCTTATATTGGGTGTATAAGGTATTGCCACTTGCACTTGTTAGTGACTGCATCGTCTTATGAAAGTATTTGGTTGGAAAAAGTCCTTCCTGAATACAATTCATATCAGCTCCATTATCAACAAGAGCAATGGCATCTTTGATGATAAAGTTAGGTTTTATCATGAAAGTAATTCGGATGTACCATTTCTAGAAAGTAACAGAGTTCCTAAGCATTAAATAATCTGTTGTTTTTGTTTCTGGAAGATTTTCAGAAGTTGATTCAACAGTATTTTTCTCTTTCTGGAGTTTCCCCTTAATCTGCTTTATCTCAGCATTAATGGCGATATTGGAATTCTGTAAATGTTTTTCTTCTGTCTGGATATTTTGGAGTCTGTTAAAAACTTCTTTCATTGTATAGTGTTGTGGGGGAAGTGTTTCTTCCTTCTTCTGTTGCTGTAAACATAATTCTAAGAATTTTAATTTCATTTCTGGATTAGAAATCTGATCAGCAAAATTAATTATTTTGTGTTCATCTTCTGTAAGAACATTGATACTAGGTCCTCCGATATCAAGTCCATTCATTTCTACTATTGCTTTCCAATAGTTGACTTCATCGGAAATTTGATTAATATTTGTTTTGCAATCACAGATTTCGGGATTTTCTTACGATGTATTAGAAGAGTCTGAATATAAAACATTAAGCACTTCTTCATTATCAGAAGAAGTGTCGGAATCTGAAAGCATTTGAAGAATTTGCTGCTTCAAATTATCATCCAAAGACAGTTCATTAAGCTTATGTTGTATTTTGGATTTACAACGATTGGCATAATGTCCTATCTGTCCACACTTATAGCATTTAATAGTGGATGATTTCTTTCTGTAAGGTTTTGATTGCTTTTTGTAAGGTATAGCTTGCTGAGCCTGTGGCTTAGCATACTTATATTTCCTGGATTTTTTAGGATAAGATTTGGGTTTTGCTATTTTTTTATGTTTTCTGGATTTGGGATATTGTAAAGTATCGCCATAGGCAAATTGTTCACAGAATTCACCTATTTCTTTTCGTCTAGTAAGATGTTGTTGTTTCATTTGTTGCTGGAGTTTAAGTTCATTGCAGAGAGCAAGACCTTCATCAGTAATTATGGCAATTAGCTGACCATAGGTATATCTATAGTAAGGTATAGGCATCCTATCATGTCGGTCACACAATTTCTTCCTAACTCTTTCAGGAAAAAGAGTAGGTAAGCCATCTATAAATTTGGCTTTCCAATGTTCAGAACTGGCATCGGTACGTCAATGAACTTTCATCATGAAAACATCTTTGTACCATCTGAAATGAGATAAAGATGGACATCGCAATTTCTGAAGAAGTTCGCGAGTACGATCTTCAAGGCCAGTAACATTGCCAATAAAATGCTGGATGATGGTGTTTACTAAAGTGTAAACAGCATCCTGTTCTGTAACTTTAGCTCTAGTGGATGGATCCAAATGCGTTCGGGTTGAAGTTAAGATTTCTTCATTCTGGGCTGTTGTCAGAATATAATCCCACCATCCTTTGAGGATACCGGTGAAACCGCTGACAATAAATCTCACAACTTGATGGTCGGTATTTTCATTTTGTTTGCAAACAGTTGCAAACATCATCATGTGCTGTAAGGTTTCATATATTTGGTAGTCAATTAAACCATTTATGTTCCATTCATAAATGGTACGGCTTTGGTAATGTTTTTGGTTTTGCAAAATATTTTCTTTATACAAAATATCAACAGGAGTTGGTCTGGAATAGTAATACCTACTTGGGGCTAGGTAGGAGTGCCTATCGACTTTGGTGTCATACATGACCCTATTGATGTCACTGGGTTGGTCATCTTGGAAATTAGCTTGAATTTCAGCTATTTGTTGGATAGTCAAATCGGAAAGAGGTTCTTCTTTGGCTATGTGATCTCTGGATAACATATTGACCTGGGACGGCCCAGAGCCAATTGTTGAAAGATTAAGATTTTTAATCTTATCTATCAAAGTGTTCATAAATTTGGTATTATCTCGTTTTGGTTCCAAATTAAAATTGGTAACCGTAGGATTAGGTTTTAGTAAAACAGGTTGGATTTCTGGTTGCTTCATAGCTTGGATTTGGCAACGTTCTTTTAAATGAACAACCGTTTCTTCAATCCGAGTTAACTGCTGCCCCATGGTTTGACAGTACAAATTAGTGTAATAATTCTGTTTGATAACAGGAATAAATTCTTTGACTGTCAAGGCATTAGAACTCTTGGGAGGAGGCTCCATAAAGGGAGATATAACCAAAGGTTGGCTGGAGGTGGTGTCACTAGGCAATAATTCTAAGGATTTGGCTGGAGGATGGATAGAGGTATATATATTGCCATCTGTAGTGACCCAATTTTTCTGAATATTGTCTAAAACATTTATGTGAGAAGCCGGGATTTCGACATGTATTGTAAACCATAAGGGAAAAGGTTGGAGTATTTGGTGGATTTCCAAATATTTATAATACTGGATTTTGAAATTTTGTATCTGTTCTGGAGTATGATTGGTAAAATACCAATTTCTGAAGTCTGTATATTGTTCATGGTAAAAGTCTTGATTTAAGACTTTCCTGTTTTCACTACCAGGGCTAAAATCCATTTAAACTTCAAAATTCATGTCACTGGCAGTAGGACTATAAGGTCCTTTGCTACTTGATTGCCTTGGCTCATAGATGCCATGAGGGATTTTGTTTGGTGAAAGTTGTAATCCTTGAACAATAGGATCCATGGGATCAGTATGATCAAGATTACTTTGTGATTTGGATGACATTCCTTGGATAACAACTTCAAAAGGTTCAACACTAGAATGTCGGGAAGACTCGGGAAGATCTACTCTATACGGTTCCCTAAAAGAGGGTGTAGATCGTATACTGGCAGTAGACATGCTTCGCATTAATTGCCTTTGTGGTCTCTGGAAACGAAGGTAAACATTACCACCTTCAATTTGTATGACATCTTCCAAATTGTGTCTGACAATTGGTCGTGGGGGAACGGCATGGGTTATCTGCCATCTTTCTGGAAAGGTAATCTGTTCCAATTTGGTATCAGAGCCACGTTTAATATTGTTTATAGTTAGTTTTATTTGATTTTAATTATCCATTTATGGTCAACATTCACCAACATGAATACTGAATCTACAGAAGAAGTTAATACAGTAGCCCACACAGTGGCCAATACAAAAGTTTCTACATCAGAAGCCAGAGAATTAGTCGCTTATCAAGATGTAAAGGAGGCACTTGATAAACGGACTATCTCGAAGGTAAAACCTAATACCATCTATAAGATAGGTAAACTTGACTTTTTCAATCAAAAAATAATTAAGACCTTTGAGCATGCAGCCTCAGTATAGAATCAGGATGAGTTAATGTATTTACTTCATCTCCAGGATCTTTATCCTTTTTTTACAGCAATATAAATATGTCCATATCGGACTAGTCCAAGTAGCCTTCAAACCATTGACTATTCTAGGTGAAAATACCAGTATCCACTGTACTCTTCGAGATGGTAGGTGTACTAATTGGAGAGCTTCGCTAATGGGAGCCATAGAAACCAGCCTAGCTCATGGTCCAGTATATTTTGATATATATCCAAATCTGAGTATAGCTCTTTCAGATCAGAACCTTTCTAAGGTTTTAGAATTGAGAGTCTTATCTCATGGTTATTAATATCTTCCAAGGTCACCACCTTTTACAGTCATATCCATAATATATTTGAAGGTACTTACAACCTTAAATCCGTATATTCGAAAGCAGAGTGACCAAGGACACACAGTGCTTATTGACACCAATCTTTATAGCAGCCAAGTTGCTATCCCTAAAATGATTGAATGAGAAAAAATTACTTTTCCAGAAAGGTGGCAGATAACAAATGTTGTACCCCTCAAACCAATTGTTAGACACAATTTGGATGATGTTATTCAAACAGAAGGAGGTAATGTTTATCTTAGGTTCCAAAGACCTCAAAGACAACTATCCAGAAGCATGTCAACTGCTAGTATTAGATCTACTCCCTCTTTTAGAGAGGCTTATAGGGTAGATTTTCCTGAGTCATCCTGACACCCTAGTGCTGAACTTGTAGAATCTGTCATACAAGGTATGCCATCCAGACCCCCAAGTAATCCAGACCATATAGATCCTATGGATCTAATTGTTCAGGGATTACAATTTTCAACCAATAGAATCCCACATGGTATCTATGAACCGCGGGAATCCAGTAGCAAAGGACTCTATAGTCCTACTGCCAGCGACATGAATTTTGAAGTTTAATGGATTTTAGTCCAGGCAGTGAAACCAGGAAAATCCTAAATCAGGATTTCTACCAGGACCAATATGCAAAATTCAGAAAATGGTATTTTGCAAATCATACTCCAGAACAATTACAGGAACTTAAAATCCAGTATTATGAGTTTCTAGAGGAACACCAAAAACTTCAACCTTTTCCATTATGGTTTATGGAAAATGGTAATATCCAGAATTCTCAACTGAATGTTTTAGAAAATATCCAGAAAAATTGGGTAACTACTGATGGTACTATTATCACTTCAATACATCCACCTGCAAATCTTTGGAATTACTTCCAAGTGATCCTACTACCCAGCCTTTACTTTTGTAGAACCCCCTGCAAAAAGCAATAATGCTGTGACAGTTAAGGAAATTATTCCTCTTATTAAACAGAATAATTATAGTAATCTTTTCTGTCAAACAATGGGCAAACAGTTAACCAAAATTGAAGAAACAGTTATTCATATAAAGGACACCTGTCATCTTAAACCAAAAATTCCAGAAATTCAACCGGTAGCATTTAAGCCTACACCTACGGTAACAAATTTTAATTTAAAACCCAAGAAGGATAATACCGAATTTATGGATACCCTGATTAGCAAAATTAAAAGTCTCCATATCGGGGGAGAATCCTCACAAGTTAATGTGTTATCCAGAAATCATTTCTAGGAAATAAAAGAAAATTATCAAAATTTGGATCCTTATCAAATATTTGAAATCCAGGCAAATTTCCAAAATGAACCCTCTTCTATTAATAAAGTAAATTATGGAACAGACGTTAATCGGCAAGCTTATACTGCCCCTAGTAGGTATTATTATCCCAGACCTACACCTATGGATATTCTTTATGAAGAAGACTTCCTTCAACACCAGAAATCATATCACAGTAGGACCATTTATGAATGGAATATTGATCGTTTATCCGAATATCAAATATTTGAAGTTCTACAGCATATGCTTATGTTTGCTACTGTATACAAACAAAATGAGAATTCCGATCATCAAGTGGCTCGATTTATAGTCAGTGGCTTTACCGGGTTACTAAAAGGATGGTGGGATAATATTCTCACAACAGCACAAAATAATGAAATTTTAAATTCTACTCGCATTAAGACTGATCCAGACACTCGAGCTGAATCTACTAAGCAAGATTCTGTTTACACTTTGGTAAACACTATAGTTCTCCATTTCATTGGTGCTGTAACAGGCATTGAAGATCGAAGTAGAGAACTATTATAGAAATTAAGATGTCCATCTTTATCCCATTTTAGATGGTATAAGGATGTCTTCCTAATGAAAGTACATCGTAGAGCTGATGCTAATTCCGATCATTGGAAAGCCAAATTTATTGATGGTCTTCCTACTCTGAAAGTACATCGTCGAGCCGATACTAATTCAGATCATTGGAAAGCCAAATTTATTGATGGTCTTCCTACTCTCTTTGCGGAACGGGCCCGAAAGAAATTGAGAGCTCGCCATAATCAATTGGCTATCCCATACAGTAGGTATACCTACGGTCAACTTGTAGGAATCATAACTGATGAAGGTCTTGCGTTATGCAATGATCTTAAATTACACCAACAAATAAAACATCAACATCTTACAGGAAAGAAAGAATTAGGTGAGTTTTGGGAACAATTCGCCTATGATTCAAAATTACAGTATCCTCATAAACAGAAACGCCATAGAATTGGAAAATCTTTTAAGTATTATTCCAAAAAATCTAGGAAGCATAAATATGCTAAAAATCCAGTCCAGCCACAAATACCTTCTAAAGGTAAAAAAAAATATTCCAGAAAAAAGCCCTCTAAATCCACAGTTAAATGTTATAAATGTGTCCAGATAGGACATTATGCCAATCGTT